TGCTATCTCTGGCTGGGGGAGATTCTGGCCTGGAGCCGCCTGGGGGAGCAGCCCCACAGCCCCCTGAGGGCTCTGGGTTGTGAGCTGAGGTAGGACTACAGGAGCACAGAAGGCAGGAAGCCTGGCTGAGGCTCTGTTTGGGTGGGTATGGTGGCATACCGGATTTTTGCTGGCCAGATTCACCACCTGGATCTCTAGATAATATTTATTCCTGTCATAAGCGCAAGGGCTTGGAATAGGGATATGAAAGTGTAACCGTGCGCAGGCTCATCGGTTAACCTTCATGGTTACATGCATGCTCCTGGTACAGTGCTCCCTGCGTGCTTCCCAGCCAATGGGGTGAGATTGTGCTGGGGACAGGGTGATGCTTAGAGCCCTGTGCCTCCCCTCCAGGGCTTGCAGTTCACAGAGGATATGGCCCCTGCAGCTGGTCGCTTTGAGTAGCATGCAGGAGCGCAGGAAGCCTCCCCAAGGCTCTCCTTGGGTTGTACGACGGTGGTGGCAGTGGGCCATATCCAGTGGTTTTGCAGGCTGGATCCAGCTCACACACTGCATTTTGCACCTGCGGTCTAGATAATACTTAATTCAGTCTTGAGTGCAGGGGCCTGCACTAGAGATGTGAATGTTTAACTGTGTACATGGGTTACTGACGAGCCTGGGCTCATTGATTAACCATTGCAGTTTCACACAGACTCCCGGTATGCGCTTTTAAGCCGGTTCCCTGCCCCCGTATGTAACTGAGTAGCTGCTGAAATTTTCAGCAGTTACACGATTACTTACACACATTTTAACATCTCTAGCCTTGACTGTCTCCTGCTAGCAAAGAGGGCTACGTGGGAGGTCTTACAGTGGCACAGCTCTGCTGCTATAAGGTCCGAAGTCTAGAATCATCCTGGCTAGCTCCCTGAAACTGAGTGCAGTGACTGCCCAAAAGGGAACAAATTGCTGAGAACCATTCGGAAAGAGTTAGACACTGAAACAGAAACAGGTTGAGTGATGTTTAATGAAACAGACCCAGGGAAATAAGGCAGCTGCATGGGGTATATCTCTGGGATGGTATGTCTGGGATGATACAGTGCTAGCAGGAGCTTTGGAGCTGGACCCAAAGAGACCCCATAGCGCGGGCTGGGACTGTAGGCTGGGACTGTAGCTGGAAGTGCATCACTACAGCTGCTGCTTCGGGTCCTGGGCCAGGCACTGAACAGCCCTGCCCTGTAGACAGAGGGAAGTGGCTGCTGTTCCTTCCACTGCCCCAGACTTGGTCCCGCTGGGACCCACAAAAGCCACCCAGGAGGGCCAGGACCATGTCCTTGGGAGTGTCTCAGGTCAGTCCGTGCAGTGTGGTGCTGGGTGAAGAGCAGGTGGGGGCTGTGGTTGGGCTCTGGCAGTGGAGGGTTAATGCTGCACTCCCGGTGCGTGCTGCAGGTTGCTCTTAGAGGGGAAGTTGCTCAGGTTGGTCCACAGGTTCGGGGCTGGGTTTCTCTGTCACGCTGTTGCCCACACCATGTAGCACGGGATACCCTGGCTGAGTCATGGCCACTCCCCCTGGGGTGTGTGCAGGTGGCCAAGGAGAACTCTTCCCCAGCACCCTGCTGTGCCTGACCAGGCGCTGAAGCCAGCCCTAGAGTCTGCCCACCCCACTTCAGAGCTGTAGCCTGCAGGTGAGGGGCAAGCCCTGGGCAAAGGGCTGGGCTGGGCAGTGGCACCATCTGCTGTGGTGCAGGGCCTGAGGAGCCCCCTGCAAACTGGGGCACCTCAGCCCACGTGTTGCTTCCCCTGCTCCCAGGAGACACCCCACTCCCAAATTGCTCTGGGCAGATTGTGAAGGAGAGGAGGGAGTCTGTGCAGGGGCCAAACTGACCACATGAGTGGATC